GATTCTTTGGGAAGAAACCAGTGGGAGTCTCTGATATGCATGCTTGCTGAGGCAATTCCTAACAAGACCACAGTTTTTGAAGAAAATGGGAGTCCGATGACAAAGCACAAGGGCTTTCTCTCCATGCGCTTCCTTCACTACAACCTCACAGTCGAGTATTACAGAGCTCCTTTCCTGGTGGTCGTCAGTCACCCTCCAAAGGACTCAGCTACTCAAGTCAGAGTAACAGTTAGGGTTGATGAGATTACCCGGTTATCCAGACGCTGGATAGGAGCTGATGTTCTGGTTTTCAACACGGGACATTGGTGGAATCAAGATAAAACTGTCAAGATGTATGTATGGTCTCTTTCTGTTTATCTCTTTTTACAGAATAATTGTTGTCCATGTCTAGTGAAGTAAGACTCACAGTGCTCGTTTTGTTTCCAGCGGCTGCTATTTTCAGGAAGAAGGGAAGGTCAATATGACAATGGATGTGATGGAGGCGTTTCAAAGGTCTCTACAGACATGGAAATCATGGACGGTGCATAATTTGGATCCAGGAAAGAGTCATGTTTTCTTTCGAAGTTATTCCCCAGCACATTACAAGCAAGTCACTTTAATATTGTGTCTGAAGTTTGGATCATAACTCCCATTTAATAGAAATGGGTAACTTGACAATGTGATAATGTGTGATGATTCCTGGTTCTGCTGTGTGTAAATTGCAGGAACGGCACATGGAATGAAGGAGGATTCTGTGATGCAGATAACGAACCAGGGAGAAACCACACGAAGCTGGAAACTGATCCTTTGAGTAATCAGTACATTTATAATGTAATAAATGAAATGAGTTACAGCAATGGGAAGGTGCAGTTCTTAAACATCACATATCTGACGGAATTCAGGAATGATGGTCACCCTTCACGTTATCGTGAGCCGGGTACTCCTGCAGAAGCTCCTCAAGACTGCAGCCATTGGTGCCTACCTGGAGTACCAGACACATGGAATCAACTTCTTTATGCTCACTTGCTAAAGATGGAATTCAGAACCAAGTGATGCACAAAAAGAAAGAGGAAAAGAAATGGAGAACTGTACCACCACATTGAGAGAAAATTCCAACTTATGAGGTTCCAACATCATCTTGCACTGCTGTTCAGGCTACTTCCCCAGTGTTTTTTTCTTCAGGGTCCGTTTCACTGGTTTCCATTTCCTTCACTTTCTCAATCTGCCTCAAGAGATCTAACCTTTCTGGTCCATACGTTGAAGGTATCTGCAAAAGAACAAATAATTAGCTTTTGAGGAATGAAACTTTAACATCAGAAGCTTATACATATATTAAGGGTGGCCACTCACCAAAGCAGGGACATATCTCTGAATGGCAGCCAGAATAGCTGCATGCCCAACAGCAGTTACCTGCACGACATAACCCATCCGTTAGACAATGGCAATTATCAGTTAATGTGAGGTGATTTGGATTCTAACATATGTTTTATGCTATCACTGATCATGTACAAAAATCACTTTTAGGCTATGATCCTTTTCTGGATATTCTTCTCTTTTACTAGATGCCTAGAAAGAAAATGATACCATAAGAGTCCAAATCTAATCCCAAAGAAAAGGGAGAAAAGAATGCTACTTGACGTGTTGATGTGTGGTACCTACAAAGTTATACGCACTAAATTCCTGACAAAATTAAGAGGATTTTTTCTGAACTCAATTTTCCAATTTCACAACCAAAAGGACGGTATTTTCAAAGTTGGCATGCAGCTATGGCATTTTTGTCAAACCAAGAAACAGTGAGATGAGATACTGTGATGCAGTTGTTAGAAGAATAGAGAAAGACCAGCAAGAGCTTACTCAAGTCAGTACCCTCTTTAAATATGGAACCTTTAATTTGGGTCAAGGTCAAGGGTCCAACAATGCCAAGCAGTAAACTTGTGATGTACCCGGCGAGAAAAAAGACTAAGAAAG